TGAGCCGAATGAGCATTCAAATGTAGACGGACTCACGCACTGCGCCGAACACGCTCATGCGGTGCGCCAGCCGATCTGAGGGTTGTCGGTCCATCAAAGGAAATTCGTGCTTAGTCTGAACGGGTTTTTAGTAGCGTATAAACACACGCCGAACGGCCCCGTACGGCATGGATTTTTCGCAAGACAGGTGTTTACAATTAATCAAAGAATTTGAGAAAAGGCCTATTTTATGGAAAGTTAAACATGAGCTGTATTTCAATAAAATTAAAAAAGAAGATGCTTGGGGGGAAATTGCTGAAAAACTGAACAGGCACGTCGGCGAGATTCTAAAAAAAAATAGATAGTCTAAAGGGTTCTTATTGGCGAGAAAAAGCAAAAGTTAAAAAGAATGTTAGAACGGGACAAGGTAGGTTTGAATTTATTTGAGACTTTCTATAAATTATATTCATTTAAATAATTATAACACCCGTATTTTGTGTATAACACAAAGTTAGAAAGCAAATAATTTTTTTCTAAACTTACCTTGATATATTCTTTTAAAAGATCAACAAGAGCCTGGCAGACTTCAGGATTTATTTCGGATATCAGCTGTTTGGATATTTTCCACATATACTGCAAACTAGTAAAAGAATCACCACTTGCGAGGAACCGTAATGTTAACGCCAAACGTTCTTCTGCCGTATTCGCCTTTGGGAAGTACGTATCCCTTCTGGATATTTTGTCCTTAATGCTAATTAGAAGAAATGACTTTCACAGAAAAATCACTTTCTGATATTCTTGTAAAATTTTTAAATCGCCTGCCATCGCCGTCGCTGCGGATGTCGTGCAATAAAAAAGAACTGTTAAGGCTCCAATCTCGACTTCTTTGAAGATATAATTGTGGAGACCATCTAGTATGATGTCGTGGTCTCTTTTTCTTTAGCAACTCATAAATAACTATGAAATGCACTAGCTACTCCTAAATGTTGTTGTAGTTTCTCACTAAATTCGGACACAAACACTGGAGCGCCTCCGAATGCAGGCTCATCGGTTCTATGCGGAAAACACAATTCGTCGGAATGAATGCTCATTCGGCTCAAAGTGCTCATTCGGTTTGTTTGTTCAGATGTGTACTCGGCTGTACGTATACGTCGGCGCGCTGCGCCACGAACGCAGCGCGCGCTCTCCGATTCGCCTGTATTGGTACGTGTTTTCGGGTTGCGCGCGCTCTGCACGCAAACAGCTTTCGATCTCCAGTCGGTTTTTCGACGCTCCGCTTTCTACAGGGTGTCATTGAAATAGTGTAAAAAAATGGGGGGGTGGGGTGATAGTACTCCTAAAAATTGTAAAAAAAGTTCCTATAAGTATTGGGGGAAAATGCATATTAAGGGAGTTAGCGGCACTGAAAGGGTGAATTTAAAAAACGCTTGTTTTAAAATTGTAGGCTTAAAAAACGATATAAAATTTCTAAAAAAAATCCTCTGCCATAAATTTTGACCCTAAATCAAATGGTGATACTGAAAAATTATTTGGAAAAGCGGAAAGGGTAGTTTTTACAAGGATAGGTTTTTTTCGTGAATAACTTTTTTAAGGTTATTTTTTTTGCAATGTGGGTTGGTTTTTTGAAAACTACATACTTTTTCCTACAAAAAAGATACTCTTGTTGCACATCGCCCAGAGCGATGGTTTTCGAGAAAATTGAAAACAAAGAGTTTGCTCTGATGGGTTGCTAACTGGTTCATAATATAATAATAATAATAATATATAGTTTATTGAATACTAACAATACACGTCTGCAATTCATACAATACAAAATCATAGTTTTTAGTACCCAAATGGATACTGGAATCATTTCAAAAATATTCTAGTCCAGATCCATAAAAAATATATTATATCCATTCACTTATTGTACTGTGTTCTTAAATTCATAATTACAATTCTAAACTTAGTTTACCCTAATATAAACTATAAAAAAAACATAAGCATATATATGATCAAAGACGGGAGAAGCGGAACAGCAAAGAAACAAAAGGTATCAATGGAATAAGGTTTGGGCAGGCACTCCAGCCAGAACAAACTATAAAGCCTTACTTAATAATAGACATCTGATCTTCTTCTCCACGATCTGCGTAGATACCTTGTGGAATATCCTTGGTGTTGTCCGAATTTGATTGGAACAATCAATAATGGGTTGCCGTAGTTGCTTTTCAGTATTAATCGACACTGAGCAAATCAATTTTTTTTTAAAACCAAAAAAGTTTTGATTTGGTTTGTGAAGTATTTCGTTTTTAAAGCAATAAGGTTTTTTAAAAATCATGAAATTTTGATTTTCCAATTAATTATTTAATAACTACTTGGTTACTTTTGAACCGCCATAACTTTCATAAGTTTAGGTTGATTAACCAGTTAGCAACCCATCAGAGTAATCTCTTTGCTTTCAATTTTCTCGAAAACCATCGCTCTGGGCGATGTGCAACAAGAGTATCTTTTTTGTAGGAAAAAGTATGTAGTTTTCAAAAAATGAACCCACGTTGCAAAAAATTAACCTCAAAATAATTATTCACGAAATAACCTCCTACCCTTGCAAAAACTACCCTTTCCGCTTATCCAAATAATTTTTCAGTATCACCATTTGATTTAGGATCAAAATTTATGTCAGAGGATTTTTTAGGAAGTCTTATCTCGTTTTTTAAGCCTACAATTTGAAAACAACCGTTTTTTTAATTCACCCTTTCAGTGCCCCTAACTCCTTTAATATGCATTTTCCGCCCTATACTTATAGGAACTTTTTTTAGTAGTACTATCACCACCCGATTTTTTTTACACCATTTCAATGACACCCTGTATGTTCGTCGTTCAATTGAGGCGGCGCGGCCGGTGAATATACCGCGCGCCTTTATCAGTGACTATGTGTGTTTTCTTTGAATAAATTCCCTTTTTTGTGTTTTTCTTTGAATATTGTTTATTAATGAAGTGTTCAAAGAACCGAACTATTCATCACTAAAATTGCGTTCCTCTCAGACGACTAGACGAATGTTCGCGGGATTTCTATGGATCGCGGGATATTCGTTGAAACAATAAAAGTAACGTGTGGACAACGCTCGACGCGCGCGCTGCGCATTCGCGGATGAGCGCACCTATGTATACGTACAATCCAAATGTATACGTACGTAATCCTATGTATACGTACCATACATCCTGCGATCCATAGAAATTTCGAGAACATTCGTTTAGTCGTTAATAATGGCCCTATCGTCTGAGAAGAACTACGCAATTTAGTGCGGCACTTTGACCACTCCATTAATAAACTATATTTAAAGAAAAATGGAATTTATTCAAATACAAACGTAGTCACTGACAGGTGCGCGCGGTGACTTCACCTACCGCGCCGTCCCAATTAAACAACGAATATACAAAGCGGAGCGTCGAACACCGTCGAACATCCGACTGGAGATGGTTCGCGGCAAGCGGTTTGCGTGCAAAGCGCGCGCAATCTGAAAACACGTACCAATACAGGAGAACCGGTGCGCGCGCGCCAATGTATATGTAACGTAACAAACGATGTCAAAATAATAGACAGTTAAAGCAAGGCACAATACATATATGTATCTCTCGACACGTAACGCAGAAACCTACGTTACGTCTGTCGTTGCGTTGTCGTGTAAACAAGAGTTAAAGCAAGTATTTTGACGTACGTAACGCAAATGGTACATTTGTAATTCTAAATTATTTTGTGAAACAATTTATTTAATTTTAAAACTGAAAATGGATATCTGTTATTCCATTGATTTCCACATGAAATTTATAAAAGTTCGAAAAATGAAGAAAATTATAACTGGAAATTATTTTATTACATAAAGTAGCCCTTACAACTTAAAATGTTCTTAGTAATAAAAATATTGGAAAACAGACACAGTTTTATGATAATTTATAAGATTCCATCTTTTAGAATCCTTATATGGATTTTGGCTAAGAACTAGAATTTAATTAAATAGATTCCAAAATGAGTTTATTATGATGCTTAATATTTTCATACTACACTGGCCCCAAAATTTATGAAATAACTTAATTACTAGCCAGTTGTGGAAACGAGTTGTTTGTGAATTTGTACGTTCGGCATCATTCGGGTGAAATCGAAACCCTTTCGGCTCGATACGTTTGCGTTTTGTACGTACGTAAAGGCACGTAAAGATACGTATAACGTATCCGTAAACGCAAGTGAATTTCTCACTGCGCAAGCGTACATGCCAAACGATACGTTTACGTCTACGTCTTCGGCCGTGCTTTAACTGTCTAATAAAGCATTTTTTTCTTTTTATTCTTGGCTTTAGGTCGTTCGGGTTGCAAAAATGTTACTAGATTTTGTTCATTATTTTATTTTTATGACGACGTTTTGAAAGTATTTGTCTTTTTCAGTGTCTTGAACGTAGATTCCTACAGAATTAAAAATTGTTAAAACTGGACAAAACACAATAACACATATTAAAACTATTATTTTAATTGTTTTAGCAGACCGTTCTGTAAAATTCTAAAATACATACGTGCTCTATACTAAAGTGTGATGTCCAAAAACAATTAAAATAATAGTTTTAATATGGGTTATTTTGTTTTGTCCAGTTTTAACAATTTTTAATTCTGTAGGAATGGAAAGACTTGAAAAAGACATATACTGTGGAAACGTCGTCATAAAAATAAAATAATGAACAAAATCTAGTAACATCTTTGCCACCCCAATGACCTAAAGCCAAGAATAAAAAGAAAAAAAATATATAGTATACCAGGTCAAAGACACGAAACAAAAGAAAAATAATAATAAAGCATGCACTAATACATTTTTGTATCTATAACATAATATTTCGCAACATTTTTCTCTGTAAAATTCTGTTTTGGGACATCGTCTGTTCTCCCCTTTCAAGGCTGTTACTGTTTGGGTTACTCTCCCCTATTTTATTTTTAAGACATAAATTTTACTATTATTGTATTATTATTTTTAGACATATTAAAAAAATTCTGTTAAATACCTGCAATACATAAGCATCGGCAGCACCCATCTCAAAGTACGCAAGCGCACGTCTTTCTTATTCAATACGCCCTTGTTCGTCAAAAACCTTATTATAGGGGGCACGAGACTGAGCACATCTGTGCTGAAGTGTGACTTCAAGTAAGCTCTGCTTACACTTTTCGGATTCATCATGATGGTATGTACATTTCTCTCAGGAAAACCAGTGATAAAACTGACTATTATCAGTACAAGGTAAGAAGCTGAAATAGTAAGCTCATTTATTGAAATTTTTGTGTACCCGTATTATTACGCGATCGAAAAAAATGGGAAAATACTTTTTTATTATTAACAGTTTGAGAATGCTACATTTTGTAAAAAATTTGCATGTTCTAAAATGATTAAGTCCGTTTATAATCCCAGAGCTGGGAGTCAAATGAACTGCCTGGTAAGTTACCAAAGGTTTCTCCCTCTAGGAGATGCGAGACCTTGTCTTTGGTGGGGAAGCTCCTAGTAAAGGGTTAGGGGGAACCCCCTCTGGCACTTTGGCTGAGTTTAAGGAGCATCTGGAGCCAGCCTGCAGAGATCAGGGCGGATGGCGGAACATCTGATGAAGTAGCAATTAGGAAGGGCGTCAGGCAGGGGTGTGTATTATCCCCACTCCTTTTCAACATCTACTCCGAGGCGGTATTCCATGAGGCACTAGAGAGCGTTGAGGATGGTATCAAAATCAATGGTACCCTGATCAACAATATTCGCTTCGCAGATGATACGGTCGTACTGGCTAGCAGCATTCTACACCTTTAGAACATGATGGACTGCATCGTTGAACGTCTCATTATCTTGTCCCTAGCTGTAGTGTCGTGGCCAGGGACTTGCACCAAAACATATAACAATGCCGGATGGGACTACCCTGTCCGTCATACCAGGCACCCTCTACTCAAGGACTGTGTACAGGGTGGCGCACCTCGTTTGCCTCGGTTGATTATACGAAAACGGAAAGATGTTGAAACAAAATACATATTTTATGGGTATATGTGGGAAGGCAATGTGTATAATTTAAAATTATTTTGAATTGTCCAGGGTGCGTGTCAGAATTAAGATCCATACCAAAGGAATATTTTTTCTTATAGAACACCCGATATTATATTTTATTTTTGGATTCTTGGGCATAAAATAAGGCATTTATTATATAGGTTTAACATGTTTAAAAGCTTTGGTTTTTGAGATATTTAAAAATATTTTAATATGCATGCTATAATAAAAAAGATTGTCAACACCTTGTACATTACTTTTCAGAATTAATTCTTGTGCTGACTTTCAAGCCAGAGAAATAAACTTTACTAAAAAATTTGATTGCATCTTTAAATGTATACAGGGGTATCAAAAATTGCTCGTCTATTTTAAATATTTATTTTACATAAAAACTTCATTATTTCAGATGCAACACTATGTATTTTTTTAAATAAGTCGAAGCAGATTTAAATGCTCTTTCAAACTATATTAGGGTTTCCTATACCTATCTGGCTCAAATTTTGAATAAAAAACGATTTTTAATAAAATTGTAATCAAGATGGCTGGTGTCGCCATGGCAATTTGCTAGTGACAGACAGTAGCTATTTTTAAATTCGACATTAGCTTATGGACTTTATTTAAATTTATAACAGGTTATTTTTATTTAATTTACCTACAGTAAGGTTAATAAATAAGTATTTATTATGTTATCAAGAAAAATGAGGCAGTATCTGCCGGCGGAAGGAGTGGATGATATGTTACTAGTGATATTATTTTGTGAGGACAATTGCTTGTTGGCCTGAAGGGTTTATGCTCAAAAATATCCAAATAGGAATTTTCTTGACACAAGCGTTTCTTACTATTTTTCCTATTTCGCAGAGCTGATAGTGTGGTATATGAAAAGCCTATTAGGCAGAAACCTGTCATTGGAAGTGAAGAAAGTGAATTTGCCTTAATTGGTTCTTTTATAGAAAATCCAATATATATCTACAAGTGATCGTAATATAAATCAAAGAAATACTTCTTTATTTTTCTTGATAAAGTAATAATACTTACTTATTAAACTATTGTAGGTAAATTAAATAAAACTGTTATAAATTTAAATAAAGTCCATACACTAATGTTGATTTTGAAAATATACCACAATATAGTTTGAAAGAGCATTTAAATCTGCTTCGACTTATTTAAAAAAATACAAAGTGTTGCATTTGAAATAACCAAGAAATAACGAAGTTTTTACGTAAAATAAATATTTAAAATAGACCAGCAATTTTTGATACCCCTGTATACATTTAAGGGCGCAATCCAAATTTTTAGTAAAGTTCATTTCTCTGGCTTCAAAGTCAGCACAAGAATTAACTCTGAAAAGTAATGTACAGGGTGTTGACAAACTTTTTTATTACAGCATGCATATTTAAATATATTTAAATATCTCAAAAACCAAAGTATTTAAACATATTAAACCTTTATAATATATGCCTTATTTTATGCCCAAGAATCCAAAAATTAAATAAAATACGAGGTGTTCCATAAGAAAAAATATAACTTTGGTATGGATCTTAGTTCTGACACAACCTGTACATTTGAAAATAATTTTAAATTATGCACATTGCCTCTCTACATATGTATACCCATAAAAAATGTTGTTTCTACATCTTTCCGTTTTCGTATAATGAACCGAGGCGAATGAGGTGCTCCACCCTGTATATTCTAAAGGACTGTTCGATCCTAAGGTTCGATCGCGTCAAATCGTCGCCGTGGATGCTTACGTCACACAGTGCTTCGCCTATGGACAATAATCAAAATTCTGCGTGCAAAATATTTTTTTTTGCTTCCATATTAAAGATAAATAATCGAAATTCCACAAACAGGGCCCGAATTATGTAACGTAGAAAACCCTAAGCGCTTTTAGACGCTCAGCGTATATGACGTTAATTTTTGCTGAGCGCGCACTTAACTAACGATTTGGGTATTCTCGTCTGACGCGCTTAGCGTCTTTACTGATTGCGCTAAGCGCTTTGAAAACGGTTGCCTTAAAGGATCGTTTTGCTTGTCGAACTGTCAGTGAAAATCGAAAAAATTGTGATTTCGTGCGTTATCTTGCTCTATAGTGAAAACTACTACTTATTACTATAAATTCCTAAATAAGTAATCGACAAATTACAAGTTGGTAGCTATAAATATTGTTCAAAACATCGAAAATGCTGAGAAGCGTCTTCAACATTTCCCTCGTATAATAAGAATAATGACATATCCATAGAAAAATAGGTTGACATAACTCAACAATAGGTTATAAAATTCACGTAACATTGACATTTTTCATTGTTTTAGTCACATTTGACTATTAGATACCTGCGAAATTACGATGCTGTCAGTATGTGCTCAACGCGTATTCAGAAAACGATTCGCACAGCAACGAGAATACCAAAATCGACTGCTTGACGTTCCGCTTATCGCATACTTTCGCTCACCGCTTTGAAAGCGTAACGTTTTTATGTCAAAGTTACAGAATTCGGGCCCATTAGGATACTCGATATCGTTACAAAACATTATGAAAAATGATAAAAATGTAGAAGAAATAAAATTGTCTTATCAATCGTTTACTGTGATTAAAACGAAATCGTACCAACAAGTTCCTTTTCGTTAAAAAAAAATAAACCTGCCATGGAAGCTAACCAAGGTATGTATTATTGTTGTACATTATGAAATATACAATTTTATTTTTGGGTACGAAGTTATACGGCAGTAAAAAATGACTGAAAATAATCTAGTCTTTTGTTGTAATTAACATTGATTAAACTTTTATTGAGTTCTATATGCCAAACATCTTGTACTTTCAGTTTTATTAAATAATGTGGACCTTGGGCTATTGAAATTGTAAAGTTTTTTTTTTAAACTAGTGGCAACTTATGCTAGTATATTTTTTTTTCTCTCTGTATGTCTGTGTCACGAGCTCCGAAACCGCTGGAGGTATTGTGATGAAATTTTCAGGGAGAATACTGTTGGGGCTTCTAAGAAGCCGAATGAAATTTAGTTAAAATTCATCAACTTTAAGAATTTTTTTACAGCTAAAATTTCAAAAAGTATGTGACTTTTGAACAAAAACTCGTATCAATATGCGGTTTTTAGATTATAATAACACGTATTTTTTTCAACCATTTAAGTATGTTATAACAAAAAAAATAGGAGTTTTTGTTCTCACAAAAACCTATTTTTGACAAATTCAAATTATATTGCGCTCTGCTAGCATACTAGGAAGGTGTGATGTCATGGATCCATTTATTTTAGATGCTGACCACACCATAAAAAATATTGACCTATTAGAAGAGTGGATTGCAAGTGGTAAAGGTGACCGAAAAAATAAAATTTCATTGAAAATCCAATCACTGCTGAACGTCGGTCAATATTCTGATGAGGCGTTTGTTAAACTTTGTTATAGTTTACGAATGTGTTCTGTAATTTACATTTTTTACAATAAAGTTTTCTGATTTTTTTTGTTAGTGTGTGAGACAGAAAAGTTTTGTTAAGTTTATTATAGTTTCCGAATGTATTATTTTTGTTTATATTTTTTTGAGCAAAGAATTTTGTGATTTGTGATTCGGAAACTCTCTATTTATTTATCTAGTAATGCTAAAACACTCTATTTTAAAGTCGATTAGAGAAAATAGTATGATTCATTGGCAAGTAATGTAAACATTTACGATCCGGTAAAATTGTGATGTAAGAGGAGGCTTAGCTTGCCTACGGCGGTTCAGTAGTAGACTGGCCAGCCGGCTGTTGTGTTGTGTTTTGTCATAGAGCTGATATTTGGGGGTTGAGAGTCTTTTGACTATAAAGCTGGATTTATAAACTCGGAAGTTGGCGTTCAGTTGAGGTTCAGTTGCAGTTGGATGTTCGCGGCAGTTGAGGTTCAATATTTTTGCATTTATAAACTGTCAGTTTCGGTTGTAGGTTAGGTTTGGAATTGTGAAAATTTCGAACGTTTTTCTTTCGATTTAAAAATACTTCTGGTATTTGTCAAAGTTCAAACACAGTAATCCACGATTACGCAAAATATAAACATCACATTAACAGAAATAATGAAACAACAATAAAGGTCATTTTCCAATGCATCGGCGTACTGTGCTTCACGTGATCGACAGGCGCTTATTCATTGGCTGTCGCCGAACGTCGCCAGCGGTCGCCAACTGCCCGCAACTGCCGACATAAACATTGACCATCTTTGAACTCCGCTGAACGTAAAACGAAC